AACCGAAAGCAAATACAGGGTGGGCCAGAAGTTCCAGGACGGTCGGCTAACTTTTTAACGGTTCGAGATAGAAAAATGAAACTTTGGGAATGTTCCTATCTCAAAGGGGACCATCTTATGGGGGAGTCAAAATATTGGTCCCCCCTAAGGGAGGGGGCGGGGGGCCCCCAACTTTTTTTTTTCAAATGAAAACCCCTATCTTGTGATACCTCATTCGAAAGACCATAACAAACTAAGAATTTTGGCGCAAACCGCAGATCAATATCTTAATTTTTGACCGAGTTATGATACTGTCAAAGGTCAAATTTGACCTATTTTCAAAAACTCACAACTCCGGTTCAAATTATCGTAAAGAAAAAAATAATACGGGAAAATTTACTAAATGTGTTCGCTTTTTTGTGAAAATTGCAGAAATCACATCGAACTAATTTTAAGGGGGAGTTCGGACCCCCAAATACGTCAATTCAAAGATCTTTCAATTTCCCCTCGAAATAAGCCAATTTCCCCTAGATTTGCCTCCACATTATCTCAGTAAGGTCAAAATCAGTTCAACATTACGTTGGGCAAGTCCCCATATTTCAGGAAAAGTTAAAAAAAAACCCAATTTAAACGGTCAAATTTAATTACCTTAAATTGCGTTTTTTTAACTTTTCCTGAAATTTTGGGGACTTGCCCAACGTAATGTTGAACTGATTTTGACCTTACTGAGATAATGTGGAGGCAAATCTAGGGGAAATTAGCTTATTTCGAGGGGAAATTGAATGACCTTTGAATTGACGTATTTGGGGGTCCGAACCCCCCCCCCCTCCTTAAAATTAGTTCGAAATGATTTCTGCAATTTATACAAAAAAGCGAACACAATTTAGTAAATTTTCTCGTTTTATTTTTTTCTTTACGATAATTTGAACCGGAGTTGTGAGTTTTTGAAAATAGGTCAAATTTGACCTTTGACAGTATCATAACTCGGTCAAAAATTAAGATATTGATCTGCGGTTTGCGCCAAAATTCTTAGTTTGTTATGGTCTTTCGAATGAGGTATCACAAGATAGGGGTTTCCATTTGAAAAAAAAAAAGTTGGGGGCCCCCCGCCCCCTCCCTTAGGGGGGACCAAAATTTTGACTCCCCCATAAGATGGTCCCCTTTGAGATAGGAACATTCCCAAAGTTTCATTTTTCTATCTCGAACCGTTAAAAAGTTAGCCGACCGTCCTGGAACTTCTGGCCCACCCTGTATAATTCGAATCTCTGCACTTTCAGTAGATTCATAAATAAATACGAAGCTCAGCTGCGACCTTTCACAAATTTGGATAGTCACTCAATTTTCTTTGAAATTTTCAGGTGAATCTCAGAGACAAATAAATTGTTTTGCTACTCTAACACTGATCACTAGAAGCTGGCTCCAATTTCTGTCTTAGAACTATTCTCAACTTTAATTACCTACTTTCAAATCAGGTGGAATGCTACTTAAATGCATACAGGGTGAGCGAAAAGTCCCCGACCCCCCCTCTAACTTTTGAACGAATTGAGCTAGGGAAATGAAACTTTGGGGATGTTCCTATCTCAAAGGGGACCATCTTTTGGGGGGGTCAAAATTTTGGTCCCCCCCTCAGGGGAGGACGGGGGCCCCCCAACTTTTTTTTTTCAAATGGCAACCCCTATCTTGTGATACCTCATTCGAAAGAGCATAAAAAACTAAGAATTTTGGCGCAAACCGCAGATCAATATCTTAATTTTTGACCGAGTTATGATAGGTCAAAGGTCAATTTTGACCTATTTTCAAAAAATCATAACTCCGGTTCAAATTATCGTAAAGGAAAAAATAAAACGGGAAAATTTACCAAATTGTGTCCGCTTTTAAGTAAAAATTGCAAAAATCACTTCGATTTAATTTTAAGGGGGGGCTCGGACCCCCAAATACGTCAATTCAAAGGTCATTCAATTTTCCCGCGAAATAAGCCAATTTCCCCTGGATTTGCCTCCACATTATCTCAGTAAGGTCAAAATCAGTTCAACATTACGTTGGCAAGTCCCCAAATTTCGGGAAAAGTTAAAAAAAAATGATATTTAAACGGTCAAATTTAATTACCTTTAATATCCTTTTTTTTAACTTTTCCCGAAATTTGGGGACTTGCCAACGTAATGTTGAACTGATTTTGACCTTACTGAGATAATGTGGAGGCAAATCCAGGGGAAATTGGCTTATTTCGCGGGAAAATTGAATGACCTTTGAATTGACGTATTTGGGGGTCCGAGCCCCCCCTTAAAATTAAATCGAAGTGATTTTTGCAATTTTTACTTAAAAGCGGACACAATTTGGTAAATTTTCCCGTTTTATTTTTTCCTTTACGATAATTTGAACCGGAGTTATGATTTTTTGAAAATAGGTCAAAGTTGACCTTTGACCTATCATAACTCGGTCAAAAATTAAGATATTGATCTGCGGTTTGCGCCAAAATTCTTAGTTTTTTATGCTCTTTCGAATGAGGTATCACAAGATAGGGGTTGCCATTTGAAAAAAAAAAGTTGGGGGGCCCCCGTCCTCCCCTGAGGGGGGGACCAAAATTTTGACCCCCCCAAAAGATGGTCCCCTTTGAGATAGGAACATCCCCAAAGTTTCATTTCCCTAGCTCAATTCGTTCAAAAGTTAGAGGGGGGGTCGGGGACTTTTCGCTCACCCTGTATATTTCTATTGGTTGTTAATATGACGAATTAAAGTGTTTCATGACACAAACAACAACCACCAGATTCAAACATTGAAAGGATTATCAGGATGTCTAGTGTCTACAGGTCGGTTTTTGCGTTTGGCCCAGATATGGTCAAACTCGCTCCCAATGTAAAGAAACATACGACGACATATTCCGGACATTAAAAAGCGGCCTGTACCTCGTCGAGATGTTCCAGACTCTATTTCTCCGCTTTTCTTCACCTCAACGCTTACACGCGCCTCAGGCTTTATTCAATGACTTATGTTGAATGTGAGGGTTTGGTACCTGCATCTACAGGGCAATCAAAATCAAGCCTATCGTTTGAGCTACGAAAAGGTAAATGGACAAGTTCAAATATTCAGCAAGCTTCTAATGAAGCTCTGGAAGCATTAACCTTAAGAAAATATATTTTTTGGGGCAGTTCCTTTCAAGGACACATGGCTCCGGCAACACAGATCCTACTACTTCCGAAATATTGAATGAACGACTCGAAAAATATACACTTGCTCGATTGTCAGAACAAAATTCTGGGATGTCAGGATTGACATTACGCAATAAAAAAATTCAATGTTAGATCACTTCGGCTTAGTCAATTCAATCAATATTGTTTCGAGGTTTTACCGCAGAAGAAAGTATATTATGTTCTTTTCAGGATGAGACGATCAGATTTCAAGACCGATTTCTTTTAACTGGCTAAAGGTGAAATCTTGGGATTAAAACACCATTCAATAAGTGACAAATAAGAGTGACGAAATAGTAACAAAATTGGCTAGTTTATTGGGAAATGTCCAACCCATACTTTACAATGACAGCTTGTAATCTGAAAACAAAACTATAGAATCACACGATACTTTCGACTAACGAACATTAATCGTAACTTTACAAAAAAAAAAGCACCAAAGAAAAAAACCGGGGGAAAAAGTAACGAAAATCACTATCAAACAATAAACACATACTGTTAGCTTCTTTGCAACTGATAACGGTAAAAGACAACAAGCAACAAATAAAAAATGTCTTATCGTTCTTTAAAAGCAATGCATACACTTCAGAGGTGTATTTAATCGAGAATTCTGATAAGTTCAAAAGAAGAACTAATTAGTTAGGAAATGAGATTCGAGCGTACTTAAAAATGCCGTGGTCGTTTACTAATTCCGTTAAGTTACAGCACAAATAATAATGCATAATTAGTTGTCACAGCAATTCTCCTTCATTTCGGCTCTGATGCGGATGATAGACATGCGACTATGCTGCATTACGAAATTATTCGCAAGTACGAATAAAGCGATTGCATCTCATATAGATACACCCAGCGGGCTGATTATTGTAATTGATAGACAAAGCGTTAGACGAATAAGACATAGGAATAATTGAGCGACCCTGTTCGTTGGAACGGGTAGTGGTCATAAACTGAGGGGGAGGGAATGGACTAACTACCGGGTCTCTCGAGGGATGCCGTTAGAGAGTCTATTACTTACCTCCCTTGTCCATTCCAAGCACCCGCTTCCACCAATGGATCGTTTCATTTTCTGTGTCGTATTTGTCTACAGCTTTGTCTATAAATTTCAATTGAATCAGTGAGAAGGAAAAAACACCAACTCTGTAGCTCGGGAGTGCTCAATGGAGATGTTGCAAGTGTGAGGGATTTGCGATTTGACCACTGATTCTTATGTAGAAGATCGCGAGAAACACGATGATGCTACTGGTTTTCTCTGAAATTATCTCCTAAGCTCAAAAAAAGCTCTCAAAGTGAGGCTAAGATCGAGGGGATATACCACCCTACCCTGAGAGTCCACCTCTACATCAAGACAAACTCTCCATGCAAAGATAGGGAGCAAATACATTGACTTTATTTGGGGACTCTAAAACTGAAAACACGGCAACCCTGATGCTAATGTATTTGTTCTCTACCTTAGCATGGTGAGTTTATTTTGATGTAGAGGTGGACTCTCAGGATAGCGTGGGATGATATCCCCTCCATTTTAGCCTCAACTTGAGAGCTTTTTTTGAGCTTGACAGTTAATTTCAGAGAAAAACAGTGGCACCATCGTGTTTCTCGCGAACTTCTACATAAGCATCAATGGTCAAATCGCAAATCCTTCACACATGCAACACCTCCATTCTCATTAAAGACAGTCAATTCTCATAGAGGTCATCGAAGTTGGCGCATCTATTCCGGCTTGGACCTTTAAAGTGTCCGTAAGTGCTCGTCCTTCGGCACCGAAAAACTTTTTCTTAGACTAACTTCTTCACCCACTGTGCGGTTCTAGGTGTGTCTTGACTATTTTCATTTTTTCGAGTTGGTGTGTTTTCGTTCTCACCGATTCAATTATCAACCCGCGAGGATAGAACGCGGGACTGTGTGAGATCCTAAACGATAATCCACTTCCGTAAGGCGAGCCTCAGGTCCTGCGGCGTGCACGACGGTGCGCTGGCTGCTCATCAGCTTTTCGCGCTGAAAAGACCAACGGCTATTTTCGGAAGTTGGCACTGCCGTTTTACCTCGATTCAAATCCATGATAACAATCGACACGAGGAGCGGCGCGATGCTTCGTCGATAAGTGAATTTTTCGCATGCATTTAAATGACGGAGAGCGAAACGACAGTGTTGCCGACGGACTCCGAGTGACGAGTCAGTCGACGTTGAGCCTCCGGAAGGATCCCTCGACGCCCGTGAACGCGGAGTCCTTGGACGCGGCTTGCCGCAGCTCCTCCTTGGATCGAACGTCCTCTTGGCTCTTCAACCAGTCCTTGTAGGATTCCACCTTCTTCCGGTAGATGTCTGAAAACATCGAAAAACTGGGTCAGATGAAGACATAGGCCGAATCAAATGGATGGAACGGAAAACCTAAGGCCTTGTCTCCACGGGACGTTTTCATGGGATTAGTCCCAAGTTCAAATCGCAGGAATGAAACTTCTGGGATTTTTCCCAGTTACCATCTCCACGGGACGGGGCTCATACAGTCCTGCGACTAGTTTACGCGGGAAGATAAAGTAGTTAAAGTCGAGTATTTAACCGGGATTGTAATAATAAATGCACTCAATTGACAATTAGACACATTATTTTAACTAATCAAACATTAACAATGTAGTAATGAATAAAATATCGCACAATTCGTTTTCACTTCTTCTTCTTATCTCAGTGGGTCCTAGGGGTACAAGTACCATGCTTGGTACTGGGAAAAATATTGATTAACTCAATATTTTTCCCAACTTGGTAAGTAGGATTTTTCCCTGGGACATATCTCGTAAAACGGCTCGTGGAGACAAGGCCTTTAGAATACAAGTGAACAGCCCCAGTAATTTGACTGAAAAGGTTCAAGGGTTTCTGTAGGTTTCTTCAACTTTCAACGTAGAAATGAGCGCCCAAGATTAATCGAAAAAAGAGAATCGCCAAAATAGTTTCGGTTCAAATTATTTCTCAATTCATGATATTCGCCTGATTTTCGAGGGAGAATCATCCATAAAAACCTGAGATGAACCCTCGAAAGAGAATCATCAATGAAAACCTGGAATGAGCAATCGCATTCTCCCGGATTCTTTGGAATTTTCATCAAAATTACAGGGTGTTCGAAAAGTCCCCTCCCCCCCCCTCTAACTTTTGACCTAATTGAGGTAGAGATTTGAAACTTGGAGGGTGTTCCTAGATCAAAGGGAGCTACTTTTTGACCCTCCCAAAATTTTTGGGGGCCCCATTTTGGGGGGGGGTTACGGACCCTAACTTTACCCAAAATACCCCCAGATACCGAGTTTCAAGCAAATCCATGTGCAAATAGCAGAGGTGCCAATTTTCGGCCATTTGGAACTTTGACCGGCCGCCATTTTGAAACGGTTTGAGATAATGACTTCCGGTTTGCGCGAAAAATTTTCTTTTTTTATGCTCTTTCGAACGAGGTATCACAAAGGGGGTCTTCCCATTTGAAAATTAAAAGTTAGGGTCCGTAACCCCCCCAAAATGGGGCCCCCTCAAAATTTTGGGAGGGTCAAAAAGTAGCTTCCTTTGATCTAGGAACACCCTCCAAGTTTCAAATCTCTACCTCAATTAGGTCAAAAGTTAGAGAGGGGGGGAGGGGACTTTTCGAACACCCTGTATGAGAGAAGTAATTAAATTGAATCATATTTTTGTCGTTCTCTTGTAAGGAGTCAACACGAGTAACCTTTCAAAACATACATTAATCTCGAGTGGAATCCGAGACAAATTCCCGGACTTCGGGAAAAATATGTTGTTCCATCGTAAATCTCTCGATTCCCGGCTTTTCCAGAGCGCTACTTCCATGCTAGAGGAGAATTCTGCTCGGTGTCCTGATTTCGCTCGAGATTCCCTGAAATCGCCCAGATTTCTTCCGGTGGACCTGGTTTTCTAAATGCGCAACTTGAGCCTGAACATTACATGAACTGCATTCATCCCTTATCCAGTCACACGATCAAATTGATCCATCAAATTGGGCCTCTCATTGGTCGCATCCTCACCTCAGGTCTTCTTCCACCAATCAGAGCTTCAGTTTGATGGCCCAATATGATCGTGTAACTGAACCTGAATTTGAGTCAACGACGAATTAGTGAGGTTCCGCAACGAGCCGTTCGTCGCACGCAAATCACGCAGGTGTACTGCCGTATGAACCCTCCAGAGTTGCCAAATTTCCCTCGCTGAAACATGAATTTCCCACCTACAATAGTTACCGGATCTATGTCAGCAATTCTTTCGTTCACGATAACTACCGTTAGATTTACGTTAGCTCCTTCAAATTTTGCAATTTTGTCCATTTTGGTCTTATGAAGAACTGTATAGTTTCTCGGTTAAATCGCATTTACCGTTTATTTATAAACGGTAATTAACGTAAGTGCCCTACTTACGCTGTTTTCCACTAAACTGTTTTCATGAAAGTTCCATTCCTTGGTTTCCTTGGTAACCTTTATTTGCTATCAGCTGATGTTTTATTTCAATTTCTTTTTGTCATTTTTTTTCTTTCTTTTTTTTAATGAATCATTGCTAGGTTAGTTCTAATTTCTTTTGCCAGCATTTATTCTACATCCCTCCCCAGCTCATTTTTTTAGCTCCATCACCCTCTCCCCTCGACTCATTTTTCTATCGATTTCATCATTTTCTTTTATGGCATGTCTTGCTCCCCTACCACCATTTTTTCGGGGTTATAGATATTTTAGCGGCCTCTAGACCCGTGACTCCAGTCACGGGCATTTCGCTAGTATGACAATACTCATGCACATTATGCCTAGAAATCTTCAGATATTTTAGATGAAATCGCGTACAGGACTGTCTGAAAATTTTGGAAAGTAATATTCGCAATTTTTCCAGAAAATTCGATTTTTATCGGAGGAAACTTGGCAACGCCTTAAAGCTCATACGGCGTTCTTCCTTGTAGTTTTTGTCACTCGTCGAGGCTCGCTCCGTTTAACGCATGACCCCGCGCACAGCTGGTCATCGCTGCCGTCCCCGATCGACCTACTTAAAGTTGCTGAAGGTGAACTTGGTGCCGAAATTATCGCCGGCAAGCGAGCTGCATGCAAGCGCGTCGATGAACTCGCGTCTCACCGCCCGCGTTTATCAAAGCGAAAGGCGGGGGCAGCTTATTCACTGCGATTCTTGCGTCAGGGGCTGTTCTTTACAATGCCTTTACTCAACATCCGTTCGGGTCCACGGAGAAAATTAAATTGCTGATTTGACGATTCAATTGCTGAAAAAAGTGACTGCAGTGTTTCAACGTAGATTTAACAACGAAAAAATGCTACGTAAACCCTTGGACGACTTACCGTTTTTACCTACACGAATGAGTAACCCGGGCCTGCGAGGCCCGTATTGAGAATGTGTGGTTATTTGATGACTGCGATGCTTTTTTCTACGTTTTTTTGAAAAATTTTATGATTTTCACACTTCGTCTTCTATAACCAAGGCCCGAAATTGTCCTTCCACCGATAAACTCCCCCCGTCCCCCTCTAGATTTCCCCCCTCTCTCCACAGTCCCCTCAGATCTATAGGAGCCTCTCATTATAAACACATTACAAAACAAGTAGAAAAAATTCTAGCACATACTCAAAAGAGACAACGGCTTGCACGTGTAAGATTAAACGATTTGAGTTAATTTTTTTTCTCTTTCCCTTGTTTCAGTACTGTTTCAGCATTTATTGAACATAATTGTATTCGCCACTGCAAATACGAGAACGTGTCCGGCCAAAAAGTTATATTATGTATCTAACGGGGACCCTAGCTGGGACCCAGCGTCGCTGATTGGTCAGATTCCGCCCGAATTCGAAATAACAAATTACATACAGGGTTGCCAGCCAAATTATTTTTTTCATTCCCTGACTTCCCAATATTTTTCCCTGACTTTTAAGTATGGATATGACGCAGTCAGAGTGCCAAATTGATCCCGCAACGCGAGCCCGAGACCGCCCGCGCCTAATTCCACGAAAAATCAGAAAAATCCCTGACCAACACCGAAATTCCCTGACTTTCCCTGACTTTTCCCGGTTGATTTTTTTTCCCTGACTTTTCCCGGTTTTCCCGGTCGCTGGCAACCCTGCACATAGCGGCGACAAAAAAATTCTTGCCCGTGTTAGAAGATCCGCGAGTGTCGGGGAAGAGAGCAACCGCGACGCGGTGCCGCACGGTGTGGCGAAAGGCCGGTTTGCCCGGACATGCGCTCGACAACTTGCGTTTTGTTGTCAACTGTGGCCCTAAAACGCATCATTTTTAAGTAAGGAGGACATTTCCAGGGCAATTTTTGTCGTAGATTTCAAATCTGCCCTTATTTTTACCATTAAAGTGATGAAAATCCGAGAAAAATTGCTATTTACATAAGTTGTTCCTGAAAAACACTGAAACATTGATTTCCACCTGGAAACTGCGGTTTTAAAACGCATCATTTTTAAGTAAGGAGGACACTCCTGCAGCAATTTTTGTCGTAGATTTCAAATCTGCCTTTACTTTTACCATTTGAGTAATGAAAATCCGAGAAAAATTGCTATTTACACAAGTTATTTCTGAAGAAGACTAAAAACATTGATTTCCTGAACCACCTCGAAACTGTGCTTTAAAACGCATCATTTTGAATCAAGGAGCGTGATCATAGGGTAATTTTTGTTGTAAATTTCAAATCTGCCTTTACTTTTACCATTTGAGTGATAAAAATCCGAGAAAAATTGCTATTTACATAAGTTATTTCTAAAGAAGACTAAAAACATTGATTTCCATCTCGCAAATGAATGCATTTCTATAATTTAAACGTTCGACACTTCTTAAAATATTTGCAGCCATCCTTTTCTCTTTCCATCTGGCTTTATGAGCAGCATTGTACGTATTCATAATTGTATATCTTAATACTGCTGTTAATATAGGAACAAAAAAAATTGAATAAAATAGAAGAAACGAGATTTTAAACAACATATCTATTTGCCCTTCATGACCAAACGAAACGTTAACTCTCGACTACTTTATCCACTACCATATGTAGCTAATTAGCTACATCCAGCTTAATTTATCAATATGAATATTGTTTTTTAATTTTTGGTAAAATTAGTCAGACTAAAATGTGTAATAAGTATATATTTACAATATTAGTCCTATTAATAATGACTTTCTACAGGTGAAATTTAATGATATTCTACATGATATTCGAAATTTCTATAATTGCCATGTTTATAATTATTATAACATGAGGATACCAACCAGTGTGAGTAGTAGTCACATTATTTAAACTTATAATAACAGTTCTAACCTCTTGACCATTCATTATTAGTATGATAAATAACAGAAACAATTTAAATTTCTGAAATGTCCTATACATAGAAGTAAATAAATTACACTACTACTGCTGCATCCAGTAACTTCTTTTACACGTACTTAGCCTATTTTAACCTTTGACCACTTACCTACGTGATGGATCTTAGAGAAATATCAACAATAGGTTGCGCGGAGTGATAAAAACCGATTTCGCGCAACCGACTTCATATCAGATAATATCATGCTGCCGTCGGAGTAGCAGATATTAGCAGCTAAAAATTGTTTAGGAGGCTTCTCAGGAGTCCTGTGGGTCTGCTCCAACAAGTCCCAGCGTGGCACTCCTTGGCACTTGGAACGAAAGTTAATTTAAAGTTTTATTTTCAGCATTTTCGGCGCGAGGACTTTCAGACGGCATAAATCGTATTCGAACCTATTTACGGCTACATTTTAGTAGTGAAAAATGATCAGCAGCTTGCATAGAGTAAGATTACGTCATTGGAAAAGGTCTCATGAAATGTTAAAATAGACTAAAGAATGTACAAACATTAGTGCGTTTTTAGAGGAAATTTTAGATTGCCGACTTAGCGGACTTTAGAGGCCTGTACCATCAATATGGGGGATGAAAATTTAAAAACTATCATCAAATCCATATAATATAACACTCGTAGAACACATTTCCGGTCCTAAACATTCACAATCCCGGAATCGCCCATGTCCGACCTTTTACCCGTATCGCCACACCGTGTGCCGGCCGACGGTGACATCGGCGCTGGCTGGACCCATGTTCACGGCGTGAACACCTTCATCGACCGTTTTTTATGATACAATTGCAACTATTTGCTCCTCTTTTCTACAAAGTGGAAAACTACAATGACAAAATAATAAATTACATTGTTGCAGTCTTCTTGCTTAAAATACAACAAAATTAACGAAAGAAGGCAAGCTCGGTAGGTAACTTAAGTATTGCCCACAACCTCATTACGAGATCGCAGGTTTGCCCTGAGGTTCTTTTGCTGGAAAACAGGTGCTTTATTAAAAACTGCAGTTCACAGCAGCTTCAATTTTAGGCTCCTTCCTCGCAGTTTAAGAGGTACGACCATTATTTTCTTAGCTTACAAAATTCAAACTGATTAGAGAGTATCTACGCAGAAAACTGTCATTCCATATAGAAACTTTAATTTTGACATATGCAGGACTATGATGAGTATAATAGATTTATTCAACAGGTGCATTACCAGGTGTTGAAGTTGTAGTTAACAAAATATTTAAAAACACACACACACAAAGCACAGAACAAAGATAAATGCCAGAGGTAAATTTAAGCATTATACAGTGCTTACAATGCTACTAGAGGATGGACAATTGATTAAGAGGAGCTGCTGAAAGCATTAAAAAAATCCCGTCTTCAGATAATTGATGGCCCAAAAAATAAACCCACCATAAAAAATCGAAATTTGCAGATGAAAATGAGCAGCAATTTTATCTTTAGCGCACAAAATAAACTGTGATTAGGTAGTTCGTAAAAATAAATGTCAATGTGTAAATTATGACTGAAGTGGAAACTCCTAGAGGGCGGCGGGCTTACTGAGATGCCAAATGATGGCTCCGTAAATGCTATCCGCTGTAATGCTATAATACACCTGAAATGTGTTCCATCATCTCTTCTGTTTTCGCTATGCCTCCCTGAAAAAATGTCCCATTACGGTAACATTGGATTAATGGTTTTTTTGGATGGTTTTTCAGGATTATGCACTGCCTAGCATTTTCTTAGCTCCTTGGCGTTTATACATATGGATAGACATACTCTTGATGGACATCACTAATTTTGCAGCAAAATATACATCTTCAGTGAGCATATGACTGACAAACACGCGTGTCGTGTCCTCTGAATACGATGTCACCTTATATTTTGGTTTCCAGACGTTATCTTTGACGCATGTTTAAGTAGGTAAGCTTATTTTCGGAGTGCGACCCACAAAATTGTCGATACATGGATGAAACTTCTCAAATTTTTCGTTGGACGCACTGGAAAAAAAAACACGTTGGATCTTGAGTCCAGACTCTTGAAAACGTCGACAAAAAAAGTACTCTTGATTCGATCAGAATCTAGCTTAAATCAAGAACCAAGCCTCTTAATTTAAGCGGAGTTCGTTTTGATTCAAGCAAAAATCCGATAGAATCAAGAGTATTTTAACTTGTCAAAGTTTTCAAGAGTCTGGACTCTGGATCTAATGTTTTTTTTTTTCCCCCCCCAGTGCGTTAAACGTCCTACTGTTATACATGCAGTCTATTACGGAACGTCCGATGCGCAGCGTGTTATGTCCGGAGTACATGTATCTCAAATTTCAAACTTTTAACAAGTATTTTCTCTGTCAGGTGGGAGTGGGCACATTAAACAAACAAACTTAAACAAAGGAACTTATGTTTCGATCGCTCATAGGTGGGACTATGAGGAGCTATGGGTGATAATTTTGAACGGTACCAAACGTAAAAATTCAAACCGGTCAACCCTTCAACACGCTTCGGTTACCAGAGGATATCATGGAAATTCTTGTACACCCCACTTAAGGCACGGATTATGAGAAATTCTGTCGAGACGCCCAAAAGCCCCTGCAATGATCAAATATACAAATTCTTATACAGCAGCCCGCGACAGTGGTTACATGAAATAAGGTGGAACACGGGGATCACGGGTAAAAACACACGCTGCACGGAGAAAAAAACTTGGTGCGTAGGACCCGAAGTTTAGGTCATGTGGATCTCTGAAGTTTTCGGATTGAACATCTGAACACTTTAGATCTAGCTGTCAAGGTTCGGATCACACATCTGAAACTTCAGTTCTTACATCTGAAGTACTTCGGTTTTCACATCCGAAAAACTTCGGTTCTCACATCTGAAGTACTTCAGACGTAAGAACTGAAGTTTCAGATGTGTGATCCGAGCCTCGACAGCTAGATCTAAAGTGTTCAGATGCTCAATCCGAAAACTTCAGAGATCCACATGACCTAAACAAAGGGCCCCACGCACGAGGTTATTTCCTCCATGTCGAATACGGAAACGTTTCGGCAAATCTCGGCCACCATCGCGTGGGTATCCGGGTTTTCTTCCCGAATGGACCACTAGACAAGGTACGAATTTCAGCATTCTGATACACGTTTCTTAACCAAAATTTCACGTAGAACACGATACGCACAACGAAAATTATTGAAATCAACTCCTTACGAAGATATTTACTGATTCTTGATGCGTGAATTCAAACCACTCGCTCATGAAAACTCAATATTCTAAGTGATTCACATCGCGCGCTAAACGTTTATCATGAGTCTCTGCGATATAAAAATCTGGCAACCTTAATCTTAACGCTTTGGCTCAGGTATAGCAAATTGCTTATAGTTTGAACAACACATGGTGGGAAATGAACATTGCTCGATAGAGAAGATTGCCGAAACCGTTGTAGTGCGCGATTTGACTCACGTAGAGCTTTGAGTTTCTTGTGAGTGGGCAGTTCAAATTCCGCGTAACCAATGTGAAATAAAAACGATAATATCTTCGTTAGGAGTTGGTTTCAGTAAATTTCGTTGCGCGAGTCGTGTTCTACGTGAAATTCAGGTTAAGAAACATGTATCAGAATCCTTCAACTCGTACCTTGTTTAGTGGTCCATTTCATTATGATTTCTTTAATTATTTGTCCGACTGAAAACGGCTCAGTTTAGGGCCGAAATGTCCCCCTCGTTTTTTCATGCAGTGACCAATTAACTTTTTACTAACCGTTCAGCTCTTCGATGGACTTGTCGCTGCCACCGAGGTCGGACGGGAGGAAGTCCTTGCCGACCATGTCGTGGAAAGTGTCCAGCTCCTTGTGGACGTGGATCCGGTCCCTCAGCTTGGGCTTGACCATCCTCTTGAAGAGGGCCACGACGCTGTCGATGAACGAGGGGACGTAGACGCAGTGCTCGCCCTTGAACTGCCCCGGGTAGACCTCGAGGAGGATCTCGGTGCAGACGCTGGCGATGGTCGTCAACTTGAGGAAGTGCGCGAAGGAGAACCCGCGGTAGTCGATGATGACGATGAAGTCCAGCTTGGCCTCCTCCTCGAGGAAGACGATGTCCAAGACCATGGTAAGGTAGCGGAGGTAGTCCATGGGGATGATGTCGGCGATGTTGGGGTCGGCGCGGGCCACGATGGCCAGCTCCCCGCGGGGGGTCCGCCGAGGGAGGGGGAACACGGGACAAAGTTTCGAGATGGTCTGGATGGCGGCCGAGGTGGGGTCACGGTTGAGGTAGACCTGGGGATGCGCCGTCCGGCACGAGTAGTATTGGTCGATCTTGGTCTTGGCCTTCTGGACGCGGTACTTGCAGTTGACGAGGAACTTGCCGAGGAGGACCTTGTCCGCCTGGATGCGCGGAAGGTGCGGCTGCTTCGAGAGCCAGTCGGCGAGGCTCTGCACCATCTCCGCCACTTGCGTTTCGTCTGGGATTTCTGGGTTGCCCATGGTTCCACCCGCTCCTCTCGACTATCACGCGTGCCTGTCAACAAAAAGGGAAACCCTCGGTTACAGTGTAGACGGACGCCTGAAATAGTGAGTTTAACACGCTGAACCCACCTACTGAAACTCGTCTAAACCCGCCCGGCTGAAACTTCAAATGAAGAAGTAGATTCATGTTTCAGGAGCGGACAGTAACGAATTGGGCGTTTCACAATAGTTCAAATTGAATACAATCTTATTTTTACTCTCAAGACAACATTTAAAGCGCTCATGTCAATAAGAAAAACCTGAAATACCCCAACTTGACCCTCTCCCCCTCCTCCCCTGGGTTTAGCACGACTCGGATTCATGGGGACTTTTTTGTGAGCGTTCTTCATACCCGAGTGAACGACTTAAAACAATAGGACCGTGTAATTCAATTTTTTCCGCTGTTTTTCCCCCGCATCTGAACTAGATTATAAAGATTCTGATGAGACCCAGATTGATGCCTCTGCCCTCGAATGGGGGTTAAAGTAGCACGGCGCAGTCACGTAACAATCCATTTGGAGTGCCCTCAGCAATTCCAACAAGCTCCATTAATCACAATGATCCGTTAGAAAGACAGAGCTTCCCATTTGCATGCTCAACCCAGGAAAAAAGATGAAGGCCCGTGAAAAGGCAAAGTGAAAAGAAACGAGTTACAGACATTGAACACGTCCTTGAAAAGTGTGATACGACGTGTGGTGCCAACTACAGGGATTGACATGATCTCAAAATTATAAGTCCAGAAAACGATGAGGTCCAACGATTGAAATCACAATACTCATTATTGTTCCAACATACGCCTCAGTGACCAGTACGTTGTAATGTTTGCGACCACAAAAGTGTTTTATGTGATTAAAGTTTGTGGTTCACCAATGTAAAAATAATGCTCTGACGATGACCGAAAGCCGAAAAGCTTCAGCTTTAAAATTATAAATTATTATAAAAGTGAATACTTAACACCTTGGCTATTTATTCACCTCATCATACAGCAATTGATATCAATTTTAATACATGCTCAGAACTCATCGGGCAAAAAAATCCAAGTTTCACAAGATACATCCAAGTTTAGTTGTAGTCGAGTGACCTTTGCAGTAATTCATGTTTTCGTAGTTATAATTTATAAAACAAACATGCGTATGGAACTTCCCTAAATTTTCCATGATAGACTTTTCGGTTCTACGAAGTTACAACGGGAACAATGAGAGTGTCCAGGTTCTACCCCCCGGTCCGCCGCCCCCTTCAAAAATTCAGGATGTGAGTTTTTTAACTCCAATTGATTTATCCTGTTTTTTGGCAGCCTTTCCCCAAATTAAGTTGTTACTCCACTGTGTGCTGATCAAATTGTTCTTCTTCTGTAGCGTAACTTGAGGTTCATTATGATTTCCGCAAGGTAAATTCAGGCTTTACCGCGATTTTCTTAAGGTCCTGAAAGTTTACCTTGTGGAAATTATTGTAAACCACGAGCTACCGTGAAGTAATCATCGCAAACATGAAGCTTCTTCAAGGAGGTGCAGGATAGCTTCCAGTAGAGGAAGTTCTGAAGACAAATATACTTCCAAACCCTAACCCAATGTTTCTACACAAGACAAAATGCTTCTTAGTTGGGTTACATATAACTAGAAGACGAACAAAAATGCCTCTCATTTGGTTCGTTGTTGTCGTTTGTTGTCAGTTGTAAGCTCCCCAACAGACAAGACCTTGCTTTTTCATTTGAGAATAACAGCGCTACTTACACCATCAAACTGAGCCCCAATCCGGTTTAGGGCTAAACAGTCTTCGGTGCACTCACACGGGCTAGAAAACAGGATTATTTTCAATACGGAATAGCAATTTTCGATGATTTAATTATCAATACCAGAGGAATAACGGTTCACGTGTTCATATCATTTGCAGTGAAATTAGAATAAGAAATTGTTCATTTTCAGTTGTACGATGTGAAGTCAGGAATTTTGATCATTTTGGTCAGGGAAAACAAGTAGAAGAAAGTGCATTATTTTCCGTCAAGTCTGTAAACACCCTGTTCGGCAACATTACGGAAATTGCAATCCCTTCTCCAAAATTGTGCAACTTCTCATTTTCTTTTAAAAATACTTAATATGTGTACAGTATGAAAACTTACACACTTTCTTTCCTTTAATTAAACAATTTTTTGGTGGGCAGTCAAAACCAATTACTATTCTTGGATATTTTTCAAAATAACTGCACTAGGAAAAAAACACATTGGATCTAGAGTCCAGACTCTTAAAAACATACTCATACTCATACAAGAAAAAATACTCTTGATTCAATCAGATTTAAGCTTAAATCAAGAGCCAAGCCTCTTAATTTGAGCGGATTTCCTTTTCATTTAAGCTTAAATCTAATTGAATCAAGAGTCCATTTTCTTGCCAATGTTTTCAAGAGTCTGGTCTCTAGATCCAATGTGTTTTTTTCTCCAGTGTGTGAAGAAGCAACATTTTTACAACACTGTAATCGCGCTAGTTCCATTTTTTCAAATGCGATCCGAATAGTTTTTCCCTACTGCAAAATGAGGCCCGATTGATCTTACCCGACAGTGCTGACGAGCCTGGCACGGGATGCTACTTCGAGTGGCGTGCAAACTGAACGTGCCCCGGCCTGTATCGCAGGAGATACGAGCGAGGCAGATAAAAACGCGCGACGGCGAACTTCCGCGGAAAAGAGAACTTTCGCACTCTGTCGCGTCGACGGGAGCGCCGAAAACAACAACTCGAGATCGGACGGGGCCCCTAGCCACTGCTCCGGACGGGCATCCCGAACGGACTGATCGCGGCGGGCCCCGCGCTCCCGGCTGATCGACTCGCGCGATTAATTCGCCGCCGAGTCGTCCGCCTTGAACTTGGCCTTGGCGCCCGCGACGGACGCGCGTCCGACGCACCGGTTCCGTGCGTGGCTCCCCGCCTCGCCCGCCCGCTACTATCGCGGGTGTCATTCCGTCAAGCTATTGCGCTATAGATTGATAAGCACAGAGAAAAAACTAGGGTTTATACATCAAAAAGTGGTTCATATGGGACACTATCACCACTAATGAGGAGTAAAGGCAACATATCATAATAGTTACACAGAAAAAAACAAGCGGGAAAGTTCTAATACTGTCGTGTTAGAAAAGCGCTCAGGTGTTAGTAAATGTATTTAGTGAAGAAAGGACGTATAAACTCCGTCGACTTGGCTGGGAAATGGAAATGGATCTCTGAAGTTTTCGGATCACGTATTTAAAAACTTGAGGTCCAGCTGCCGAAGTTCGAGTCAGATATTTGAAGTACTTCGATATATAGCGAAGGGTTCGGGTCACACATCTGAAGTACTCCGGCACATACCGAAGTGCTTCGATGTCTGACCCGAACTTCGGCAGCTCGACCTCAAGTTTTCGGATGCGAGATCAAAAAACTTCTGAGATCTGTTGTGCGCCCACCATACCTAACATACCTTACACCTATCTCTTACGACTATTCTCGGTCATATCACCTGATACAGTTCGTATCCGGTTCATGTCCGGTCTGACGACACTTCGCGGCCCAGCCTAATGACCGGCCATGAGCCGGGTCCGGCTACCTATTTGCAGATGATTACCTCATCTTCATTTTCTCCCAAACACCTAGGCCCATAAGCTCATTAGATCGATCGATTTAAAAGAGATTGTTCTAGCATTAGCGAGGACTCCTGTGTTACCCCGCGACCACGAGTCAAGGCGCAATTCTTGGTTCTTCCGTTCTGTCATTTTTTTTGTGCATTGTTTGATTCACGTTCAATATATATATTTATTCATAGACATCCATCTTTCGTGTTAGACCCTTTTTTCCTCTCTTGTTTTGGGACACTAGCATAGTCTAGATCCCAACAGATCCATATGATCTCAACTTCGGGTCCCATGCACGAAGATATTTCTCCGTGGGAATAAAATATCGTCAAAAAACAAAAGTATATACAAAGTATCGTTACCAATCTTTTTATAGTATAGACAACAATCGTATTTAGAACGTATGAATTCTTTATCATCAAGCATAAATGTGTCAAAACACTCATACCAATCACGCGGACTCTCTCGGAACCCATAAATTGCTTTTTTTAACTTACACAATTTATTTTCATCAATATCGGAACCATCAGGTGGATAAAGATATACCTCAGATTTAATTGTACCATTTATAAAGGCTGTCTTAACATCCATTTGATGGATATGCCATCCATTTTTACAAGCTAAAGAAAATAACAATTGTTGAGTTTGCATTTTAGCGACAGGAGAATAAATCTCTACATTATCTTGTGTTCTTTGTTGAAAACCCCTTGCTACTAGTCGAGCACAGCAACCCCCCTCCCTTTCCTCTAAAATGTGTGTAATTAGCGTATAAGCGCTGCAGTCCGGTTCCCTCTTTTTAGCTTTGCGCGGTCAATTACTCCCAGTTCCCGTCTCCGGGGGCGTCCGGATTCGTCCACGGTCAGTTTTCTATGGTCCGGATTCGTCCACCGATGGAAAAGGACCGATGTCCGGACTCGTCCACGGTCGAAAAACGCATTTCCGGATCCGTCCACGCGAAATAATTCGACTTATTTTAAACGGACGATGTGGCAAGAGCGCAGTGATTCTGATCAGAACGCGTGCGACAGAGACCCTAGTAGCACAATTAGTGTTTAAAATGTTTCAAAAATGTGTCACTGAAATCAAAAAACATTGTCAACACATTTCATCGAAACATTTTAAACACGTTCAAAATTTTTTCATTCAGTTTTTAACACGTTTCAGACACTTCTCTATGTCACCCCAAATTTTTGTCACACTGACACCCTATGCAGATTTTTCTGATACCTATTGAGGATGTATCAAAGTTTCACTGATACGTTTCAGGAACATTTCTGAAACATATTTTTGAAAGGAAAGATGATTGATGCTCTCACAAAATTGTTTCAGAGATGTTTCCAAAACATATCGATGGTTTCCAAAATATTTCTTACGTTTCATCGAAACATATTAAACACGTTCAGAATGTGTTCATTCAGTTTTTAACACGTTCCTGACAATCGGTATCAGAAAAATCTGCATAGGGTGTCAGTGTGACAAAAATTTGGGGTGACATAGAGAAGTGTCTGAAACGTGTTAAAAACTGAATGAAAAAAATTTTGAACGTGTTTAAAATGTTTCGATGAAATGTGTTGACAATGTTTTTTGATTTCAGTGACACATTTTTGAAACATTTTAAACACTAATTGTGCTACTAGGGTCTCTGTCGCACGCGTTCCGATCAGAATCATTGCGCTCTTGCCACATCGTCCGTTTAAAATAAGTCGATTTATTTCGCGTGGACGGATCCGGAAATGCGTTTTTCGACCGTGGACGAGTCCGGACATCGGTCCTTTTCCATTGGTGGACGAATCCGGACCTTAGAAAACTGACCGTGGACGAATCCGGATGTGCCCCCGTCTCCGCTCCCGTTGAAGTCGTAAAAACGTTTCGCGTCGCGCGCCTTATGATCATTTTGAGGCCTGGTGAGATCCACTTGCGGCTTCAATGAGTGGTTCATATAGGTGGTGTATATTATGCCCATCATATTTTCCAGGAAGGGACTCCTCCAGTGGCGTGGCGTGAATTGCGATGTATCGATTGTTATGCCATTTAAACTTATGGTAAATAATCGATTATTAAGGTGTTCGCTGCGAACACCCTATTTATCGATCCTTTTCCATAGGTTTAAATGGCATAACAATCGATATATCGCAATTCACCCCACGCCACTGGACTCCTCAGGCTTGCTATACAAGATTTTAGTGAATATGCTTGTGAGGACTGTTTAAAAACGCAAATACCCACATGAAGGAAACATGTGAGAAGATACTGACACTTGTACTTGATTTTTATCAACGCCTTATCAAGGATTTTATGCAACATTTTTCTTATGCTTCCCTTGACTACTTCATCATTGATTCCTTTTTTAATAAATTCAGCCCGGTGCTCTGATTCGCGATGATCCTGAAGCAATTAGTAACGTTCGTAATTGTTAAAAGCTTTGCGTCCTTGCGCATCACGATGTTAATTAACAGCAAGTTGATTTAAATTTGAATAAGTGCGAGAAAAAAACACACCAACTCGGAAAAATGATGATGTCCAAGGTACAAAAAAAATTGCACAGTTAGTAGGTGAAAAATTTATCTGGAGATAGGAAGCTTTTTGGTGAAGAGGACAAGTGTTTAAGACGAGACATTAAATGTGTGTCAAGGAAACGTTTTTTTTACGTTCGTGTTTTTTTTTTTTTTTTNTTTTTTTTTTTTTTTTTTTTTTTTTTTTTTTTTTTTTTTTTTTTTTTTGGTAGTAGTTCCTTCACCTACGAGCAGTTTTCTGTGTTTCCTAAATATTCTCATCTTTCCGAGTTGGTATGTTCTTTTCATTCTCACCAACACTTCAGAGAGAAAAAATGCCAAAATGTTGAGATGTGCGCTGGAATTTTTCCTGAAGTGACCATGAAACGACTTTGCCGCATTCTTCGTTCTTCGGTAGAGGTTTAGGTAGGTTCTTAGGTAATGGTTTATGTAGGTTCTTAGGTAGGGGCTCAGCCCACATTTAGAAGGACCCCAAAGTTGTTATTAAGTTAAACAATCAAAAGCAATATTTGGAAAATCGACGATGTCGCGATTAAGATCAGCAATATAGTTTACTTCATCAGCACAATAGGCAACGCTGGCCTTGTGTTACGGTGCAAAAGAAGCAAGCAAAGCCCTTGAGTTAGTGTCGAATGTGACGCACACTATACAAATTTCATTTTAACTCCTGGATGCAACTATTAGGGCTACAAGGATATCTGTGTTGCATACGCTTGTAGTTGAAGGCGTTTATACTGTACAGGCACTCGCCGTTTCATCCGTTTCTCACCACGACTCATCACCCAACTCTTCGTTTAGGTATACTACAAAGACATCTACTAGGCACCAATAGTTGCATACAGGCGTAGGATGTGAGTATCTTTGATGCTCCAGTCTTTATACGGCGATTTGCTGACCATGATTTATTTTAGAGCAAGTATTCATGCCTAAGAGATTTATTTGATTATAATTGAAAAATTTAATGTACTCAGTCAATTTAGATCCTCGGAGTAATGCCGACCGCACAATGTCACGAGGCTTTCAGAAAGGTTGGAGACGAAATCTTCGACTATAACTGCAAATTTTGACTTGGACTATAATTTCTTCTCGCTATAAATAGTATGGAGCGTTTCTTGAAGGAAATACGCGGAATTCAACGAAACCACTTCAAAAACCTCTACCTCCTGTATTGTAATCGATATCTGGCCCGGTCTCTGGGTAGGGCGAGCCGTGAGGCCGCACAGGGCGCCGTTGTAAGAAGGAGCCGAAGGCGCTCGCACCCTAAATTCCCCCCTTCCCATCCCTCACTTTTTTAATGCGATATAATCGTTGGTTTATTGTTGGTTTGTTACAATCAAAACGCATCCTCAAAAGGATCATCTTTAGCGCTCCTCCTTCTTCCGTCAGCGCCGAGGGAGCTGGTTTTTTTCTTTATTCTGCACTGGTAAAAAAAAAAAAAAAAAAAAAAAAAAAAAAAAAAAAAANAAAAAAAAAAAAAAAAAAAAAAAAAAAAAAAAAAAAAAAAAACATTGGCTCAAGAATCCAGACTCTTGAAAACATTGACAAGACAATTGACTCTTGATTCAATCAGATTTAAGCTCAAATCCGATTGAAACATGGTGATTGAAACGTGGCGTTGCTGAAAATAAAACTCTACTCTTAATTCAGAAAGAGAGTTTTGNGGGGGGGGGGGGGGGGACATTGACCGCCTAAAACGTGGTGAAAAATTAACAAATAAATCTAAACCACTCAAACGACTGGCTCCATACATTGGCGTGGATGGCTTAATTCATGCACAGGGTCGATTAACGCATGCCCCTCTCCCAGAATCAGCGCGGTATCCGATAGTATTACCATCAAAACACCGCTTAGTGCGCCTTCTAGTTGAAAAATACCATAAGGACAACATGCATGCGCCTCCGCAACTCCTGCGATCTCTGTTGCGTCAGAGATTCTGGATAATGGCATCAAGAGGATTGACTCGATCAGTGTTTCAGTCGTGTATTTATTGCTTTAAGGTACAACCTAGGAACAAAACTCCTTTAATGGGTGATTTACCAGCTGAAAGAGTTCAGCAGAGTCCCCCATTCCACAGAACGGCATTAGATTTTTGTGGTCATTTCAATGTAAAATTGCATCAGCTTCGATACGCAATTATTCCTCCAGTCTATGTCTGTGTTTTTGTGTGCATGAGCACCAAGGCAATTCACTTAGAAATGGTCTCAAAACTGAGTACCGATGCTTTTGTCGCCGCGTTACAGCACTTCGTCAGTAGACGAGGCAAACCGGCATATATTTATTGTGATAATGCTAGCAATTTCCAGGGAGCGGCAAACAGACGTTTAAAATTAATTGCGTCAGAGGACTCAAAGATATTGTTTTCTCACAACAATAAAGTAGAATTTCGATTCAATGTACCATTAGGGCCCCATTTGGGGGGTCTGTACGAAGCTGCAGTAAAAAGTTTTAAACTACACCTGAAACGGGTGATGGGTGATAGTGTATTAACTCAAGAGGAGTTTCAAACGTTGACAGCCCGTATTGAGGCTATTCTAAATTCACGTCCTCTCACTCCACTCTCCTCTGACCCACTTGATTATCAGGTTCTCACCCCTGGCCATTTCTTAATTGGTCGGCCATTAGTAGCGTTACCAGAAAGGCAATATGACACGGAAAGTCCACCATTTCTGCATAGGTGGAATTTGGTGGAGTTGTATGCCCAACAATTTTGGCAACGTTGGCACCTTGAGTACCTTCATTCACTCCAACCACGAGGGAAGTGGTTGGAACAAGCCGGGAATCTGGAGGAGGGAACATTGGTTCTTCTCCATGATCCTCAAAGCCCCCCCTTAAAATGGACTCGAGGCCGAGTCTTACGTACATTTCCAGGGAAAGATAACAACACGAGAGTAGTAGAAGTCAAAACTCCCAACGGAGTGTACAAAAGACCGGTGGTAAAATTGTATGCTCTGCCATTGGGTAGTTCTCAATAGTTAATTTAGCCTTCTCGTAACAAATGAAATCTACTCTATGTTCAAGATGAGCAATAACGAGAAGTCAGTATCTACTCACCCATCTCCCATATCGACCAGTATGTCTTCCCCTCCCTCCGCTCCATCGACCAGTGTGTCTTCCTCTCCCTCCGCTCCATCGACCAGTGTGTCTTCCCCTCCCTCCGTTCCATCGACCAGTGTGTCTTCCCCCCCTCCCCCCTCCGCTCCATCGACCAGTGTGTTCTCCCTGTAACGAAGAATTTCATTCTCCGTTTTAAGTTTTTCCACTTCTTTTGTAGACCAAAATAGCGACAAATATGTCACGGCTTGGCGACACCGCGCCGCGACGCCCGGTGACGGTACATCAGCTGTTTGAAAAATGAAAAGAAATGGAATACTGTTTCTCTTTTTTTTCTCTCTCGAAGATAACTGCGAAATCAGGGTTTTCCGTAGATTTACCAAAAACGAGAAATTGTAAAAAATTCTCAACTACTATAAACTTCTGTAGGAAATTTTCCTACATCCATTTCTGTAAATTTTATATTTTAATTAATTTTTCTTGTAACAAAAATATTGCAATGAATGTCGAGATCGTCTTCCAATAGCTCTAAATCAATCTGATGGCCCTCTACGCCAAACATTGTTCATCACCCTCTCCTTCTCGGAGGGTCGCCCTCTCTCAACTCTCTCTCTTTACCTTTGGGACTCGTAAGTGCACGCTCTGAGTAGCATTTCGTCCTGTTTCCTATCTTCTCACTTTTCCTCTGTTATCTTCCTCCTGGCGCTAGAAGTGCATGCTCTGAGTTGCATTTCGCCCAGCTCTGCTTCTCCTTACCTGTCTATCATCTCCTGTTCCTGTCGAGTTCTAGCTGTGAGACCTTGAAGTGCACGCTGTGAGTAGCATTTCGGTTATTTTAACAAACATTTTTACTTTTGCCATTATTTATTTATCTCGGGAAAACCTAGAAGTGCACGCTTTGAGTAGCATTTCGGCTTCCTTTTTATATTTTGTTGAGTGTAGGGTCCTCAGAAATGTAGCTAATTAAAAGACATTCTTTTTGTAAATAAACAAATAAATTTGAGACACGAGATTTTTGATCATTCTTCCCCTCTTTCAAGTTCATTTTAAAATTGGCGCCCGAATCCAGGATCCCGGCGAGTTCATTCCGGCAACTACAGTAACGTTGGCTTATCTTATACCAGAGGACGTATGTGCCTCTGAAGAAACGGGATTTGCCTCGTTACACTCCCCTCCCTTCCTTGAGGAACATAAGGTGTCTCCCACAAATTCCGCCCCTCACCGTTTGGATCTCTCCTCCAATTTCCTCTTACAAGCAACATTGCAATTCGATCAATGGTTCTACGGGAACCAGGTTGCGGTTATCTCACATCTCCAAAGGGAGAAAGATAAGGAGACTTCAAACAAACAGTTGTGATTGTTGCTCTATCCTTTACGTGTATCCCGTTCCCTTCCCTTACCCCCTTTTTTTCTGTGTTCACAGTGACTGAGCAACAGAACTCCAAGAAACCCCCATTGCGGACCACTATTACAAAAATTTTGGAAAACAACAAATGCGACATACTCGACCATCCTCTGCGGCCACCGTTTGTAAAGTGTGCAAATGGACATTATATCTGCGGCTCATGTCGTCAACAGCTGACAAATAACGCATGCCCCTATTGCAGAGTGCCATTAACAACGGTAATCAGGGATCGTATTTTGAATGAAATTTTTTATGCTGTCCATCCGACATTTGGTTCGGATGACCCAGAGCCTCCTTTAGGCCGGGGGGCCAACCGGTCCTTGAATGCAACCTCCGCTGGACCCTCAAGACTGCCAAGGGGCAGGGGGTATCTCCTCTCCCAGTTGGGAGTGCTAGACTCTTCCCCACTACTACCAGGACGGCAGTGGCGTGGCGTCCATAGGTTCGCAGTGTTCGCCGAACACCCTAAAATATTTTGAAACAATTAATAAATTATGGCTAAGAATGTGGGAAGCAATACAGAATACAGAATAGTAGATCGCAAATAAGTATCGGGCGCTTGGCTTCCGACATCGGCATGTGGCGCGGCGGAGAAAGAAAATCCTGTGACGCGTGGTCCGCACCGACTACCGAACCTGGATGATCTGCGTACGGTGAGGAGAGAGAACCTGGGTGCAATGATGAAGGGGCAAAGGGTACACGAGAGAGGAGAGGCACCGGCGCGCGGCGCAGAGCGGAGCGTGAGCATTGGGTTCGGAGACGAGTGCGGACCGCGCTCGCAGAGGGAACACAGCAAAGAGAAAAGGGAGGGGAAAAGAACGAGAGAGGAGAGCCGCTCATCAGTCCAGCTGTTTCCTATAGCAGTGGTCCGCAGGGGTTTGCGAACCGCCGAATTTCCTCTATGCCGCGATTCGCTCTCCACTTCCCCCCTGCGCCTGCGGGCCGCATCTCCCAGTTTCCCAGTCTCCCTCTCCCACCTCTCTCTGCAGGTGCGTGTTGCGAAAATACGTTATCATTTAACAAAATAAATTACAGGAAAACGATCAGTAAAAAGAACAAAATTTCAATGACAATTTACCGGCACAATTTTCACCAGAAAGGGTTAAAATCGTGTTCTTGCGGCTTCATTTTTTAAAAAGTTTCCGGGGGAGACCCCCCGAACCCCCTTTAAGGAAGGGGAGTGAACCTTTCTGAGCCCCCCCCCCCCGTCCTAAAGTTAACACTCCTACCGAACGCCTACCGGATATAGTCACGCCACGCCACTGCAGGACGGAGGAGGCAATTAGATTCCAGACCTGTCAAGCCGGGGTTTAATGTAGAAAGGAATCTCCAATCTCCAAATCCGAATCTCCAAAGGACCATTGGGAGAAGTTTAATTGAAGCAGCGTTCGAAGAATCGCTTTGGGACACCTTGGATGTTGACGATGCCGGAAATATTTTTGCACGAGTCCCTGTGCGTAGATGTTAGTAATGGTTCGGGACCCGTGCCTCCGGGGCTCGGGCTGTCTCAGCTGCGTCAGTAGGGCGGGTCATCCTACTCGTCTTGATCCCTTCGGGGTTCAAGGCGGGCCGGGATGTTCCCGCCATTAAGACTTATCAGCTGGGACGGTCTGGGCCACGGTGGAAGGGGTTACCATGGAACTGTATGAACAGATTTGGTCTTAGCTCTTGCAGTCAAAGTTGCAGAGAAAAAAGTTTCGTTCTGTCATAATCCCTGTTTTTTGACCCTTTCTTGTAAACCCTTATTTTCTAGAGGAAAAACAAAAGAACCTTTATCCCTTCTATAAAGTGAGTTTTTTATTATTGGTATTATTCAGTCCTCTTGGACGAGCCGGTATAAGCAGTAATTAACGAAAACCTAATTGCACCGAGTTGCCAATACCATGTCGTTAATTCCTTAATCAATCCACCCTGACAAAAAGGACGAAGGATAAAGCTGGCCAATCACATAACTCAACTCAACTCTCCTTTATCTTGCCTTATCCGGTCGCAAACACGATTTTTTTAGCAATCAGTGTGCTGTTCGCTTATGAGCTGGCATTGAGTTAGAAGTCTGTAACGGGAGACGCATCAATTCATGTGCCTTCCCTCCGAAACGTGTCGTAGAAAAGGTACATTTTCATTTCAGATCGCGGTTTCTAACGGGATGTGTCCGACTTGAAGTAGAGTACCTTTATACAGGGTGTAACAACTACACTGGAAAAAAAGTCTGCTACGGTCAAGCCGTCTCGGAATCTTGAGGAAAAAATCTGCTTGATTCAAGAATTTTTAGATTAAAACAAGCAATTTATTGCTAAATTCAAGATTCGAGATTCTTATTTGCAGCTACCTTATAGCTTGGATCACCTGATAGCTTGATTTAAGCAGCACAAAAATCTTGAGTCAAACCTGCTGTGTCTTACCTCAAGCCACCATGGCTGCTAATTCTAAGAAGTTGTTTCTTGATTCAAGATAATGTATACTCGAGTCAAGATTCCTGGTTTCAAGCATGACACGAATCTTGGAAATAGCTGAAAAAATTAGACTTAAATTAAGTTTGCAGCCAACTTCTTGAATTAAGTTTCCATTGGATTGTAACCACTCCGCCTTCATTTTCGACACGGGTATTAAGTTATACATTCCTAAATTCTCAAGTCATTCCAGGAGACCTCCAAAAGCCGCGCATTTTAACATAGTGCTGCAAACCGAGAACAAAACCCGCGGCAACGCACGACGACTTCAACATGATCCATGTCGAAGAATCAGTAACGTTCTATCCCTACGTTACGGAATTTTATGAAAAATGAATAAAACTTTCAGTTTTTAGTACTGGATTCGAGCATTAAACGAAAAATAATTAAGATTCCGCCGGGTAGCTAATTTCAAGCAGCACGGCCATGCTTATTTCAAGCTATACGTTTCTTGGCGGCAAATTTAAGATTTTTTCCAGCTTGCTTCAAGCTGATTTTGATTTGTTTCAAGCTACTTTTTTTTCCAGTGCAGATGGCGACAAACTTTCAGGGGTTGCTCTATGCCTTAAAATAATCGGAAAAGTATTTTACCAAAGCCTCTAAGATGCGTGGTTTTCAAGTCACGCGGAGTTCAAAAAATACCGTACGTGTTCGGTTATGACGTCACAGTGGCTATCCTAAGGGAGATGTTGCATGTGTGAGGAATTTGTGATTTGACTGTTGATTCTTAGGTAAAAGCTCGCGAGAAACACGATGGTGCCACTGGTTTTCTCTGAAATCAACCATCGTGTTTCTCGCGAACTTTCACATAAGAATCAACCGTTAAATCGCAAATTTCTCACACATGCAACATCTCCATTGTCGGAACCCAAAAACAATTGTGGTTTCGTAAAGTACTCATCGAGAGCTTAAAAAAACGAAAACACCGTTTTATAAGCTCTTGATGAGCACTTGATGAAACCGCAGTGGTTTTTGCATTTCCACAATTAGGATAGCGACATTGACGTCATAACCGAACACGTACGGTATTTTGTAAATTTTATTGGTGCTATGAGTTTGATATGCTAGTATTTTTTCTCAATATTTGTTATGAACAATTGCCGCGATGTCAGAAAGAACTAGACTTCTTTTGCTGAAGGCAAGACAGGATTATTTCGAAGCCAATCGCTGTTTCAGTAAGTGCCGGTTCGTTCGTTTCCCTGGAAATGGTCGTGGATGATGGATTTACTGCGGAAGCGGAGTGCACCGTCG